TCGTCAAGTGATAATTCATTATCGAATAAACGTTTCGAAAGTAGCCACTATAGTTGGGGGCTTATCGTATATTTGATTTTCGATTTTAGGGAGTTTTAATAGAAATATTCTTACTTTACTGTATTGGCAGCGAATAGAGTAGGGAAAATTTTTTCGTGTTATAGTTGCGAGACAAATCATGTTCAGAGATGTATTATGAGAGTGAAAGTCAGTCTTTATTGTGCTGATTAACCGAGGAATTTGAATTAAGGTTAATTTTTCCACACTTTGACATGAAAGATTTCTTCTGCGTCTATCTTGCCAGAGGCGGGATTTAAACTCAGATTTAGTTCTATTAGCAGTGTTTGCGTTTGTAAGACAATTTTCCAACCATTTTCTTAGTGCTTACTAGTTGAAGTGTTTTCATTATTGCTTATCTGTGTGCTTATGTTGACTGTTTCCCTGTCTTTTTTTTCAAGATTTGAGTTTGTAATTCTTGTGACGTCCTGATATTTTAATTATCACTGGTTAAATTTACTACTTGTTGCATTTCCGTTGCCAGCCTGGAAACGTTATCGTTCCCATTCTGTTCTTTGCAAAAAATACCTGTTAAAGTAGTCTTTCGAAGTCATCATTGGGGTCGACCATTTTGTCTCTTATCTGTTGAAGATGACATAGAGTATAAACAACTGTAAGAAGTATTTCAACTGAATATGAACTTTTTGATTACCGGCCGCGTATAATCGTTCCTGCAAACCTGATTCATTTTTATTATGTAGAGAATGCTGCATTAACTAAAGCTTTACTATCGAATGAAGTCCTGTAGTTTGCAGAATTATGGTGTACATCAATATGAGTGCCGCTTTAATTATAGACGCTCTTAAAATTGTGGATTTGTCATGATGTAGCTGCCTAATCTATAAGATCTTACGAGCAAGTCACATAATTGTCTACACCAACTCATCGCATCGTAACAATCACCCATATATGATGGAGAACAAACTTAGGCTAGAGATAGAACAATATATTTAATACGAATAAAAGATATAAGGCAACACTCAAGAGTGACCACGCCTGCAAGGCCGAGCCACGCCATCCGATTAATCAATTAATTAGATCCATTCCTCCCACCTTCTCCATCGGTGGATATCTATTTTTCCAGTTGTCTCGTGTTCAGCTTTAAGGATTGTGTGGTTAGGGCCCAATGCCACTAAAAGCTCCTCAGACTAATGAAGAAGTTATCAAGCACTGATGCCTGCTCGGTAAGACTGAAACAACATGAAGAGGAAACTTCAAGTGTGATAGTACTGTCAGATGAGTCCTAACCCATGTTTGAAAGGCTGACATTCTTATCGTCGACGAGCTAGGAGGGGGAAGAATATCAGACCAGTGTCACGCGTAGCCGTATTAAATCTCGCACTGTCAACACGAACAAATTGTAGCTCACTAAAAATGAATTTATTGTAAACACTACCGATGTGGTGACAGAACATCATTTCACTATATGCGGAGAAGAAACTCCTCTTACAAGACAAACTGGATGGCATAAATAAGTATATTGGTCTTGAAGAGAAGACAGAAAGGACATTTGAGGAAATTTTTACTTTAGTTTGTGGGAATGGAACGACAGAAACACGACTGATAGTCGTGAATTTGACTTGTAATTGTAGAAGAGGCTGTAGTAGTACATATAATAAAAGTAGTAATACTCGTTGGGTGGGTAAAGGTTGTAATCTAACCATAGGTGACCTTAGTGTTATTACTTGGAAGTGATGAGGACGAGGAGGTTCTACTGGACTCATGTTTAGCCTCGTGCATTAGATTTTAAACGCTTTAAGGTGGTTGTCATACGTTCGTCACAAAAAGGTCGAATATGAGGGCACATGAGTTTTATTTTCAAACACGAAGACCCTTCAGAATTCGATAGAGAATAATAGAAATTTTAATGCCTAGATTAACTAAAGGAGTAAATAGATACCTTATCCACAACTTCTAATCCTAATCGGAGACTAAGGACTAACCTTCGACGTCCAGACCTAGAGTGTGACATTTGCGCTTGCAAATGTGACTTGGGACAAAGTTGCTAGCTCTGCAACATGGATTGCGGTATATTACCCTCTTAGTTGCTGAACTACGTGTAGATTTGATTGTACATAAAGCGGCTCTGCATGTACCACTGTAGCGTAATTCTTATGTGTCCGATCTTATTAGAAATCAATCTCTAACACTTCACCTCTTGCCTATGGATTTACAACGCTACAATATTTATTACAGATACATACTGCAATTATTGGAAAGCAGTCCGCGTTTACTATGGGCCGCGTTTCTGTGACAAGAATTATATTGGGACACAATTCATCTGTCATTGAGTTTGTATCGTATGTTTTAAACCCAAGACTACTAGAGTTTGTGTCACATAAATTCAGAGTGCTTTGAGAATTACTCGTTCTACCTATACAAGTATCGGAAGCATTGGCTTCCAAACCATAACTACCCGGGAACTCTGCCTGACGAAGTTTGTTACGTCATTTTATATTTGAATTATTAACTTAGAAAGAGCATTCTTACACTAAATTCGATCCTAAAATAATCAATCTGGCCCAATATAAATACTAGAATTATGGATTTTTCATGCCTTAGTACAACCGTAGTTGCTTGATTCATAACCACACAATCTTCAGAGCTGAGCATATAATAACCAAGAATAGGTACATTAACCTCTGAAAGCTTGGATAAAGTAAAAGAAGGTCGCTTAATCAAGATCACACGAGCATTATCACTCTTAGTCTTTACATAAAATATATTGTTTTATTCCAGACCCTAATGCGCTCTATAACTGTTATAACAGACATTACTGACTGTCAAGAAAGGATGATTCAGTATAGACAATTGTGCGACACATACTGTCATACAAAAACAGTCACAGTCAATAAGTGAATGACTAATAAGCTCAAACTGTGACTCAGTAAGAATGAATAAATTGGACTGCTTGGAAGCTAAAACAACCCATGTGGGCATGACACAGTACTAGACATTATAATGGCACTAACATTCAGTATTTGACCTCAGTAACAGACAGAGATCACTACAGGTTTCAGGCCCATAATATATGGTGTGTTTCCGCTTCGACCCGTCCTTGTACCTGGGAGATTAACCATCCAGTAATCAAATACTGTGGTGTTTCAACAGATTAGTTGGCCAAAGACAAATGGAATAAGCGTAAATCCACTTTCCAGTCCTTAGCATTACCACTTACCACACCGTCCAAACGTAAACCTGTAGAATTATGGTCTAATATGATATTAGTACTGCTCTAATAATAAACCTAATCCTAAACTTGTCGATTTGCCATGATATAACTGCCTAATCTATAAGATCTTACGTGGAAGTCACACCATCGACCACACCAACTCACTGTATCGTATCAATAACCAATACATGATGAGGAAGAAGGTTAGGCTGGAGAAAGAACAATATATTTAATATGAATAGAAGATATAAAGTAACACTGAGATGGGCCACGTCTGCATGGACGAGCCATGCCACTCGATCAACTCCAGTCCATTCAATTCATTGTTCGCGCCTTCTCCATTGTTAGGTATTTCTCGGCGTTAAATATATCTATTTTCTGAGTAGTCTCGTGTTCACAGCTTTGTGGATTGTGTGGCTATTGTCCAATGCCACTACAAACCATCACATTGCTCTCGACGGATCGATAGGAAAACCTGAAAGCTGTCACGGCGTAGAAAATGCTCTCAGAACTGGGGTATCTAAAGCTGAAATTTTAGCAAACAATTTGATTGGGGTCTATTCGACCGTTATATGTATTAACACTTCCCATAGCCACACTATTGGGTTACCGGAGACTGGAGAGCAAGTGGGACAGTGTCCAGACGAAGACCTTTTAAAAGGGTATGTCAAAGAACCACTTTGGGCTTCATTTTTCCCTCTACACCAGTAACTTATCAAGACTGTTGAAGTCGTCGGCACTTTTTCCAGAAACATCAATATCTGCAGGACAATAACTTGTGAGACTGATCATCTTGGTCTTCAAGCAAACTTATATGACTTAGTTAAGTTGTTCCAAAGCTAGGGCTTCGAAATTAATTCCAGAAACAGTGTGCTATTAATGTGTTATTAGAGTGTTATTAGTGACGACTTGTTCATTAGTTATGCGGTTCGGTTATATTGACATATGACAGCAACTTTCCCAAATTGACTTTTTCTGGGAAAAATTTAAGATATGTGGAAAAGAACATGAAGTTTGTATTCATAATCAACGCAACAGTCTAAAAATTTAGAATCTGATTTATAATCGAATGTAATCTCTTTGATTCGCAACGACAGAAACACAGGAATGGAGGGTGAGCTAGCCATGTACTTCCAATGTTGCTCGGTAGCACATCAAATGCATATTCCAGAGTTTGTCAGTGTTGGCGAATCTTTATGGCGCTCCGTAAGATTGTCCAACACGTCGAAATTTCTAGTTAGAGGCATCTTTAATGTACCTAAATTCAAGCTTAATGAAGAGCCCCTCCAGTCATTGAACCTTTACCGATAAGAGTGCAACCTACATAGATTTGACCTGATGACTCATATTATCCTAAAAACTTCCGGGAATTCCCTTTTAACGACTTATTAAGCTCAGTCCCGACACGAACGTCAGTGATAACACACAGAAACTGGAAGTAATATAGTAGAACGTACTGTAGATACATCTTCTACTCCGTAAGAGTAGTCAAACGTTGGAGTTCGTCGCCAGCTGGGCTAGTCCAAGCGACTTCCCAGCAGTTCTTTAAGACAAAAGTGACATATCACTAAGGATTAAGTACAGTATCTTGCTCTATTTAACTAATTCCTTTTTCTTCATTTTACCGTTTATTACACCTAGGATCTTACCAGTAAACATCGGTGATCCACTACTACTAGATACAGAAACTCGTTAAGCTAAAGTTTTTCCTATTTGTGCAGAGCTATTTGAACTATTGTGAATCATTTGATGATCTCATCGGATGAGCGATATTCTGAACGTTTGCGTTACTTTAAGGTGACGTTAGTGACTGTCTAGTATTTTATACTCGCTATGGAAAATCAGATGGGTAGGGTTTTTCTTTTTAAATTATCTGCCACAAAAAGATAGAAACCTGGAGTTTTATGCAGAAGAAGTCAGGAAAAGGCAAGATTTGGAGAAAGAAAAGGAGGGAGAAAAACAATTCCTTCGTACCTCACTACGTGGGTCTAGTCGTTTGCGAGCTATTGAACAATACAGGAGAATCATTAGAAGAGATGAATCCAAGAAGGCTGAAGTAAATCAAGCATTTGAAGATGATTCAAAGGTTGAAAGCAACACAGGTTCGTTGATTGCTTATTAGTAATAACGTGGTATTTTGTGTTTAAGAACTTGGAATATTAGTACAGATTATTGTTGTGGTTAATTTTTTCCTGGTGGATATGCTGGTTTACTAAATTCTTGTTATAAGTCTGGCAAAACTCGCCTGATTTGTCAAATTATTCTTATAAGAACGATATATCGTTGTGCTTCACAAAGTCTCGTCATGCAAGCTATTTGATTAACGGATTGCATTATAAAACAATGAAATTTGGTCATGGCTGAAGATTGCGAAATTTTCGCCGTGTAGGAATTCGCACTGAGAGTTGCTTACTTATTTCCGCTTATGTATTTAATCTATAATCCTTTTTTTACGTTGCAAAATGTGGACCACCAGTAGTTACGAGATATGAAAAATAGTCTAGGTTGTGTTTTCGAACTTCTTTCTGTATATGTGGACGTTTGATTTTTGATTTGATTTGATTTGTGTAGTAAGGACAGAAGGCCTACGGCCTATGTTATTCCTTTTCGAGTATGCTTCTGTGAGTGTCCAGTCTTCTCTTGAAAGAGTCAATTGAAGGTGCGGACACCACTGCTTCAGGCAGCAGGTTCCAAGTATTAATGACTCGGTGTGAAAACCTGTATGCCACGGGTATTTTGTTCGTTCTTGGCTTTTCTACTCGAATGCTATGTCCTCTGAGGTGTCTCGATCTAGTGGGAAGAAAGAGAGAGAATAAGTTAGGCCCGAAATCATTTCTCAGTATTCTGTACATCAATATTAGATTTCCCCTTAGTCTGCGATAGGACAGAGTAAAGAGGTTCAGTTTTTCAAGCCGCTCTTTATATGATGAACCCCGGAGTTCCGGAATTGCACGCGTAGCTGCCCTCTGTACCTTTTCTAGTACGTCTGAGTCACCTTTTAAACAGGGGCTTGCAGCCTGAACACAGTTCTCTAACTTAGTTCTCACCAAGGATGTGTATAATGTGGTGAGCATGGTAGTATCAAGCTTAGTGAATGTCCTTTTTAAAGCCCAGAGGGTTCGAAACCCATTGGCTGCGACCTCCCGGCAATGGGCCATCGTCTTAAGATCATTAATCACTGTCACCCCTAGGTCCTTATGAGACCGGACTACGGGTAATGACACATCCCCTATGTTGTACGTATTAAACTTTGAATCCCCCAAGTGTATGTAGACACACTTTTCCGAGTTGATAGGCATTAGCCACTCTTTAGACCAGTTTATCATATTATTTAAGTCCGCCTGAAGAGTAAATGCGTCTTTGTCTCCAGTTATTACTCGCCAAATTTTTACATCGTCAGCGTATAATAACATTGGAGACTGTACTATACTTGTAAGATCATTAACGTACATTATAAAAAGTAAAGGACCTAAGACGGAACCTTGAGGTACTTCACTAAGTACTGGTCTCCAGATGGAGCACTTGGGATGTATTCTTACTTTCTGTCTACGACCTTCTAGGAAATCCTTAATCCATTTTAAGAGGGGTCTGGCAATATAAAGGTTTTCCAGCTTCAATAGCAGTCTTTTAGTTGACACTTTTTCAGAAGCCTTACTGAAGTCTATGTAGACAACATCCACTGAGTTTCCGTTGTCTAACGCATTAATCCAGAGCGCCCTAGCTATAAGGAGGTACGTTGTACAGGATAGACCCTTTCTAAAACAATGTTGTGCCATGTTCAGCAAGTTACCGGTTTCCATAAATGCTGTTATGGTCCGTTTGATTATTCTTTCCAGTATTTTAATTACAACACTGGTGAGGCTTACGGGTCTCTAATTTGATGGAACTTGTCGTAGACCTGTTTTATGTATGAGAGTGACGATTGCGTCCTTCCAGTCCATAGGTAACACACCTTGGTCAAGTGACATGTTGAATATCACAGTTAGTGGGGCTGCGATATATTGGGCAATATGTCTCAAGATTTTAGGGTGTAGTTCATCTGGTCCTGTTGACTTCTCCATGTTTAGGGTGCTAAGAGCCTTAAGCACATCGTTTTGGTCGAAGTCCACGGTGAGCAGCTGGTTTGTTGACTCTAACTAGGTCCGGTTCTTTCTCTAGAGGAGGTTCCTGAGTGAAAACTGCCCCAAAGTAGTCAGCCATAACCTCAGCTTTTTCCTGATCTTCCTCTATCATTTCAGATTCACTCCCTACTTTAATTAGGTTGGGAATCCAATGATGAATCCTTGTTCCGTAGTTTATGTACGAGAATATCCTCTTGGGCTGCTTGAATGCAGATTCTGCCAGCTGCATTTCATATTTTCTTTGCGCTTCCCGAATTTTAGTTATACACTCGTTTCTTATCGATCTGTAGCGTTCCATCGTACCTGCTGTGCCAGGGCGGATAGCAACATCCCAGCATTTCTTCTTTTGTCTTAGTACGCGTCGAATATCCCGCCCTATCCAGGGATGTCCGTGCTTCTTTTTCTTTGGGACAGTCCAGGGTATGTATGGTTGAGTTACCCGATTGTATAACTGCCTGAATAGAGTCCATGCCTCTTGTACTGATGCCTTTGAGTCAATTTCCCAGTTCTCAGCCGATGCTGCGGAGTTAATTGCCTGCATATCTGCCTTCCATATGTTAGGACGGGCCGGTGCAATTGTTTGACAAGCAATCTCAGCCATGAATTTGAATAAGATGACTGCATGGTCACTTCTCCCAAGTGGTGAGAGAAAAGCCGTTTGACCAACGTCATCACCGTGTGTGAAGACTAAATATTTGGTATATTACAAACATAAGTAAAAGGGCTCTTTCTCACCTATTCAAACAATACTAAAAGTATGAACACAAGCGTGGTTTTTCGGAAAAACCCGTTCAGTATGCTCGTAAATAAATATAATTGAATCAGTCATTCTGAACGACGCTCCTTGAATAACGCACTTAGAATATGACGAGTCCAATTTATTGCACTGGTTTATTACCGTCTAATTACATCGTGAATGAATTATTTAAAAGCCTTGGTATATCAATAAACATAGTTCACATCTGAAATTTCTCAATGCATAATTCATATTATTGAGAAAAAGTTATAGGTTATTGTGTAACAAACTTGTGGCCACGAATAATTTCAACTGAACTAAATACATACAGATAATAAAACAGTAGAAACTGACTCAATATGAGTACCGAACGATAATGTTGACACTAAGTTTTCATATGACCACGTCGAAGTTTATCCATATAAGATAGGTAGCATATGAGTTGGTCTATGTGGATGAAGTAATATTCTTGACGAAAATGTCGGTGGGTATTAAAATAGAGGCTTTTAGAAATTACGAGTGAATTAAATCAATAAAAACGTCAATGATTGGTAACTTTGGAGCATACAGTTTCATTTTAGAAAGGACGGGAGGCTAGGCGGTCTGTGTTAGTTCCGGAAATGATGATCTCTCTGACGATCTAACTTTCCTTTGATATCATTGACGGATGGATCTTCAATAGCGTGTTGAGGGAATGAATTCCATTCGTTAATGATTCTGTAGCGGTAAATAAATCCCCAAGATAAATAGCTCTGTAAGTTTTCGACATTGGATGCTGACCAGATTTGTTCTAATGGGCTCACCTAGCTGAAGGCACTCGGGCATGCATCCGCACCAAATCACGTGTGTTAACGCTGTGCTCAACATCTACCGCAATCGCTAGCCAGACTAGATCAGACAATTCCAATATATTGGCAGTCGTCAAATACAACTTCTGATCTCCTCGATTTTGTCTTTTGATTTTTCTTGCTGGGTACTAGTTATATTAGAAGGTGCTATTGGTAAAAGCGTTATCAAACACTGACTACCTGTTCCATCTTCAACTCGATGGGAAAATCGATAGTCAACTGATAGACAGTTTGTTCTGAGCTTGTAAACTTTCTTATGATGTCCTCGTAAATTATCTGTTTTGGAAAGTGGTGGTATATCATATGTAAATTTGTCACTCAGTAATTTAAGCACTGTGGTCAATTCACCTCTATATCTCAATGGAAATAGGTTAAGTCAGTCGATCATCATATGGGAGCTTTGCTATCTTCGGAATCAACTTAGTTGAGGTTCTCTGAACATTTTTCAATAGCTCACTGTCTCTTTTTAGGCAGAGGCTAACCTGATAAAACAAACACGTCTAACACTAACAAGTTTTGTTGATCTAATTCTTCATCAGAGTGCTATTTTGTCACTTAATTAGCAAAGGATGACAAATAGAATTATCGACAATTAAAAACAAAAAATTGGTTTCACACCAATCGCTTGACGTTACCACTGTTAGTAGATTAGGGCATGAACTCTAGCTTCAAGAGCTAACCGTTTTTTATTTCTCACTAAACTGTGAACATGAAGTAACTCGTGTAAAAGATTCATAATGCTTATCATAATAACACTAACATTCTTATAGATGATTAAAAACAAAACATATCTCTTCATTACTGTCTTGTGAACCACGTATTGAAATGCTCCCAAATGTTGTTTACAAAGCTGAGAGGACGAAAAGCGAATGTTCGGCGCTTTAACGGGGTTGGTGGGCATAGAGAGTCCACCTAGAGGAGTTGTAAAACCCTGATTCCAAACCGATGGTGCACATGAGCTCCAGTATCCCGCGGGAACAAATGGCGTGTGAACCAATCGTTGGTCACCGGCTACCATGGGACTGCGTCTCCTTATGGTGCTCCACTGTCTTGTGGATCAAACCTTCAAGTCGAAGGCCCGGGGTGTGGTTCCCTAAGGAAACCACCTGCTTTGGTTTGGGCACCCGAGCAGTATCACAGCCCTCACACATACCGAATGAAATTTATGTGGAGCACATGTATTTGGTGCCTCCTTGTACCAATATCTATGTGTTAAAATAAAAATATAAAAAAACCACGCAGTGAAATAACATATGACTATTTGGAAAACGAGTTAGTTTCAGCTTGGTGACACAAGGTTTTAAAGATTAAACCAACTTCCAGCGAATGCAGGCGATAGCCGTAACTCAATTATAAGAATTTCATGCACATAATTCCCTTTGTTATCTTAAAAAGAGCAAGAACAAAGATTGGTGCAGAATAATATGTATTCATTTTATTCTGTCAGGTTTTCATCGGCTGCTTACAACCTATAATACTTTAAAATCAAAGTCATTAAAGGTATTTACATATTTATGAATACGGGGATGATTGGAGATGAATATGTGTATCATAATGTACCGAAAGTTCCGATAACGTTAATAAGTTCATAAAAAGTTTGTTTTGGATAAATAAAGTTTGGGAGGGAAAGTTTCAAAACATTGAAATAGTGATTATAAGTCATGGATTTAACAAGCATTAGATAATTATGTAATGAAGCAACCAAAAACATCTTAGTGGTAATAAAGAAAGAAATGAATTGAAATCAATCAGTTATGTATGGAAGAAAAATGACAGAAAGAGTTGAAATAATGAATGACGTTATAAGTAAAAAGGGGCGTTGAGTGTTACCTGGGCAAAGAAAGATTTATTGCTGTCTCTTTTTGGATACATAGATCTGGTTTGAGACGTTTGTTTGCTATCGTTTCAGCAAATTTTAAAAGATCGGAGTTTGATTGCTTATTAATTACCTTGAAAGACTTCAGTGTATCGACTTTATTACCTGTGTCAAGGAGATGTTTCGAGATGGCACTACCGAATGCTTTTAATCCAATCAACCTTACACTTTTCGGACTACGTTCTTTGAATCAGACGCAGGCTTTCCTTTGTGTTCTACCAATGAAACTGCTTTGGCAGACACATGAAAATTTGTATACTTAGTTGGTGGTAACAAGAAAAGGATAACTATCGACCTTTGATTGTGTTGAAGATCTCGTTATTTTGGACAAGACAATCAGTTTAGCCGCAGGATAAGTTCTTTTCAATGCAGTTTTTAGTCTCATATTGATTGACCCTGTGAAATCATCACCTTTGAATTGAAGTTGGATTAAAATATGTTTTTTACTTACTGTAGTTTCCTCAGGTTTTTTATCTTCACGTTTTTGATACTTCAGAATAAATTTCAGTTGGTATCCGTCGTTCTTTTAACAGCTTTTAACATTCATTACTGCTTTTCCTTCTATTGTATCGGCAGTACGTAATGTTTTTTCTGTGAAATAGTGTTTCAACAAGTGATTTTTGTAACTGATTGGAAAAAAGTTACTGAAATTGAGACAAATCTCACTCATTTGTCTTTCTTATAAATTGAATGTTGAACTGTGCCATCCTTCCTTCGTTTTATTGCGATATCGTGAAAATGGAACTTGTTTCCATTTTTATGGTCCATAGTAAAACGGATATTTGGATGGGCCTCGTTGAAAAGTTTTAGCAGATTTGTTGCATGTTGTTGATTATTGCATACGATGAAGGTATCATCAACATACCTCGAATAATACATCATTTCATCAATCGCTTCTTTGAGCTTGGTTCTTTTGGGATCAACCATGAAAATATCTACTTGTACAGGACCTAACGGACTTCCCACTGCTACACTATCAGTTTATGGGTAATATGATATTGTTGGACTGGAACTGAACATCTTTTGTACATATGATTAACAGTCGTTTGAATTATGATGCTGGTAGGGGTAGAATGTCAGAATGCTGGCAAACTATGTCTAGGGTTTCAAGAAGTGCTATTTTTGTAAACAGTGATGTCACATCAAAGGAAACCAAAAAGTTACCATCAATATTTATGCGGTTCATACTGTTAGCAAATCCAAATGATTCCTTTAATTTATAACTGGCTAATGGTTGATGGACTGGTTTTAACTTATCCGCTAACCATCGTGCAACTTTGTGTTAGGGTGAATTGAAAATTGACAGAATACGTCTAAAAGGAGTACCTTGTTTATTTATTTCTGATAAACCATAAATATGGGGCATACGAGATCCACGAGGTCGTAGGCTATCGCAAGTGGAGTTATCGATTATCTTTTTCAGAAGAACGATGAGTAATTTCGCGATTCTTTTCTCAGTTGAATCAGTTAGGTCCTTGGTACATTTATTTAACTTGAATCTTATGTGGTCACATAAAACGGATTTCATCTTAAAGACATCATAATTATAGGACCAGAGAACTCATATAAGAACCGGACACTTTCATCGTAGATGTAATTCTGTATAGTTTAGATGGGTTTAAAATTTTTAATGGGTATAATCGATCATTCGCCTTTCGAAAAGCCTCAGAGTTTACATGTTTTTCTGTGGCTGAACTTCGCAACAAGATTACGGTTTGCCTGAAAAAATCGTGAGCTTTCTTAACTTTGAAAATAGCAAGTAGAGGATAGTAGATAACGCAAGCATATTCAGAGCTGACAGTAGTTCATATTAAATTTAAGATAATTGAATTCAGTCAACCTTATATTCTATGGTAACTTAAACTCTAGTTCAACTTCAAACTAGCTGATAAAACTTTGTGATTTATAACTGGTAACGCTCCTATTACTTTAAACTTAATGATAACTCATTAAAATGATTGTCTTGAATATTTTTCACTAAATATACTGTAAAGCAATAGAACTGTTTTATTACACAAAATGTCAAATACTTTTTTGTAGTAATCTTACTTTATTTTGAACTTAAACAACAGATTATCATAATGCTTTAATTTAACCGTTGTATTAATAAGAATAAAGAGGGTAACTAATGAAGGAAACAGAAAAATAGAATCACAGTTTTTAGGTGAAAAATATAAAACTTATGTAATATTTGTTTGTTTTTCAAGTACTAAATATTTTGTCCCAAAATGATATACAGAACATTCACGCAATCATACAATGAAGAATGACTGAGAAAAGTAGTATATATGTAGTTATACCTATATATATCAGTGTTTCGAGCTAGAACATATATGGATAAATAAGTTATTCAAATTGTTATTGATGATCCATGCATATTATTATTCTAACAGCAAAAGTTTATTTGCTTGGTATTTTTTCTTCCGGTGTTGTTTTAATGAGTGTATTGAGGGGTTGTCTTGTGACTTCATTATTCTTTAGTACTTTGCGTAATAACAACTTTCGGAATCCACGAAGAACTTGTTGTTTGCCACAAGCAGAATACTCCTGACTAATTGTTAATCTACTCAGTCATTCAGTTGTTTGTTATTAGGATAATTATTGACACAATTCTGCTACAAATCCCACCTTTTGCGTTTAGTGAGTGAAAAATACTTCTTAGATTGGTAGTGATGGTCAGTATGATCGCACAACCTTATATGTATAGGCATAATTTTTCCTGGCAAATAGGTATCGACCAACAGGTCTTTATGTGAAAGACCAGTCTGCCGACGCTCAATTATATGAAGAATTGGTTTTAGTAGCAGGTCTGTGACGAAGTTAGACAAGAGTGATTCGGCAAATTTAAACATTTTGCAGCCGAAGAGATGTTAGTGTGGAGCAGCGACATGTTTCAACTTAAGAATTTGATAAATACTAAAGACGTAGTCTGGGACTACTTCCCTGTCACTGATATCCTGGTTGTGATAAGTTTTGCAAGTTCAACAGATTTTATCGCCAAAATTTTGAGTGTTGTAATGTACCACTAATAAAATAATATTTTTGAGTATCACTCTTACAGCGTTAATTATGGGTCTACAGTAATATCTTGACATGAATTGAACGTTTGCCGATTGTAGAGAGATGGAATAACATACCTTTTTAACAATATTTCGGTGTCTTTATACTTAAACCATGTAACTAGGAGATGAATCTGAAGTTGTTTTATTAATAAGACAAATCCCTAAATCTTCGTTGTAATCAGAATTTAATTTATGATTGCAAGCACTTCATTTAATAACCTCCATCTCAGTATTATTATTGTCACCTTTTTATGATTACTTAGTGAGTGTTTTTTGCAGTAACTAGGTTTTTTTTTTTGCAATATTTCTTACAATATACACATATTTCTTTTGGTCGATTGCAAGAATAGTCTCTCTCTCACACTTATCTTGTTCTCTATAAATTGAACTTATAAGGTATTGGAAAGTAACTACTTACTACTGATCAGCAAATTGAATTACTGTACACATGTTAAACGCAAAACTCTATTTTTTAAAACATTTTATTTATAAAATTAGTATACATGTGGACGGTATAGAGTATACGAAATGAAAGAAGCTTACTTCATCTTACTATGATAGTTCTTCGTGCTTTATAAAATAGCTATCTTTTGTTTATGATTTGTTAAATTTTAGAACTCATGGAACTTTTGTGCTATCTACGGACGAAGATGCCAGTTCTAAGAGATGAGAATGAGAATAAATTTCAATCATCAGACGTCACACTCCCAACAAACGAAGCTACTTTGGATTCCGAAACAGAACAATGGGAGTGGCTTTTAAACGTTCTATCCGATCCAAGTTTATCAAAAGCATTTCTTATGCATGACAAAGTTGCGAAAGCATATGAGACTTGTAAAAGTGTTATGCATCCTAAACCGAGATATCGTTGGCCTGTTTTAGCTGGATTGGCATACGACACGATGGAAGCTGTTAAAGAACAGTTATTAACTGCATTGAAGAATCCGGGTCAATTTGATGCGTTTACTTTAAATTGTATTTCCGCAATACTTAATTTATGCTCATCCCCTTTATTTCAGGTATGCAACATTACTATATAGTAGTGATATTAGTGTTTTAACTGTTAGTGAATACTTATCAAGTTTCTCAAATTGCTTGAATGTATTACGGTCTAGTGAGTAAATTTCACCAAAGTTGCAAGTATAGCATTAAATTAAATAAATGTTAATTGATTTGATGGTTAACTTTCATGGATTGATGTGATCACAGCATATATTATGTAATAGTTTATTTTTAATTCACTCCATTACCTGAATTGAGAGTGAATTAAGAATAGTTCAGGATATTATCAAATGTCATACTTTACCAAATCTAACAACGTACATAATATAACTTATTATCATAAGAAAGTACAGGTCATGTGACAAAATAGTTAAGTTACTATCCTAACGATAATTCTTGTAAATATGACATTTAATTTGGTTTTCATTGCCTTTGAGTTATACGATTCACATGAAGTTTATTGGACAGCTATATGAAACCTCTTGGCGAATCACAGTCAGAATAATAACTTTATAATTTCAATAGTGTGTTGTCTTCTAAATAATTTACAATATACTAAAACGTTGTTACTGTTTAGTAAATTTTAAATTTCCACTAAACAATGAAATAATCATATGATTTCTAAGTTTCATTTAATATATCTTATTGTTTAGAACTTATTAATTGCTATGGATGGATTAGCAAATACATGGCTTTTTGATGCTGATGAAGATTTTGTTGCATCTGAAAGTTTTGACATGTCAGAGGATATCGATAGAAACTCTATTTCTAGTTCATATATTCAAAAATCTTCTGTCCCAGGTTGTTACGCTACACTTGCATACGATGATCAAGGTCGTGACTCCTATTCAGAACATGGAGTTAGATTAAAATATGTTATTCTTCAAAAAACTGGTAATGAATTTTTGGTAAGTCAGAAAAAGTCTGATTATAATAAATTCGCTCATGAAAATATGAAGCATAAATTAGTACATATTTTTCACTTTTTCTTTAAATTTACGAAAATGTTTATTTGTCGAATTCTCTTTTATAAAATTTACTGTTTTTATTTCCGTAATATTTGCCAGGGAGCTACAGTTCGTTTGGAAAGAAATTCAATTCTAATTGCTCGGATTGTTAATGGGGGTTTAGCTTGTAAGACAAGTAAGTAACCAATGTAAATAAATGTGCAATTATTTCCTTCGATATTTCAATGGATTTTAAAAGAAGATGGACATAACTAAGTTGACACAAATGATAGTTATGCTCACAGAATCGATCCTTAAATCTCAAGTGAATAGATTTTAAAAGATAGAACCATTAACTATTTAACTGAGTATATCTGAGAATATGTTACAAAATTTTTACTGTTATTTACAAGTAAACTATTCAGTTGAGATATTGTGACCTTTAGCTACTTATCAGATAGGAAACGATTAACGAAAAATTGAAAAAAATATGGTGTTAGAGTAACTAATGTTCATTCATGTTTATTCATTGTAACAGTTATTTTTGATTGGTTTAAAGTACTCACAACTTAGTAATCAATATGTTATTGTTAACTAAACTAACTTTAAAAACTATTCAACCGTTAAAAATTCATCTAAGATACCACAATCGTTCAACTTTTGTAAACAATCTAAATTGAATATGAATTATAGGCTTTTTTCTCAAATGACCCAAGATTAGTTGTAATCATACAAAGATACTATTTATAGTCAGCTCTATTCTCAAGCGTCTACCTGCTTATATCACCAGCCAAGTATTTAAATGACTAACAAACTAATTTCATTTTTTTCTGTTTGTTATATCAATTTGTTTATAGTTATAATAACTCGAAACCTAGACCTAAAGTTTATTACATTGTAGCTAATGTGAATCAAAAAGTAATCATAGAGTAATGGTATGATTTTGGATATTCGTTACATGATAGTTCTTCATAAATGTATATGACACTCATTATGAGTAGTGTGATTATCATATTACTGGTGAATTTGTCTTGGTACATTATGCTATCCTATTTATTTGAGTTGTTGTTTGCATAATTCAAGATGGCTGTTAATATCATAGTGATCAGTCAGTAATAAGTAGCAAAGGATCTAGTATAAATGTCTGTTTATTCAACTAAACGCAATGAAAATTATCAGGAGCAGAATAAAATGTCCGTTGAAAAAAATTGCACTATCTATGTTAGTAACAAATTAAACAAAAATAGTATAGTTCTAAAACAATTAGTAAAATCGTGGAGTAACCATCATCGGGTGAACCTCAACAGGGAGGTTCTAATTTCTGAAGGTGACTTAGATCAACGATCAATCACTTCATATCGGCACAACTATTTGGTCCTTAACCCAATTGTGTAGAATGAAGTTTGTTTACGCATTACTATATCTTTAAAAAATGGTGGCTCGAATTTTGCATAAATATCACTTGATATCATAGGAGGTTTTTGGAGATTGTTGAATTTCGTAGTGAACATGCGAACATTGGATACTGAACCAGCGGTCTAACGGTTAAAAGCTATCCTCAGGACCCAAGGGTCCTGGGTCCAATATTCGGTGAGTTCGTGGGTGTGCACTATAAAGAAGTCTCATGCTAGAACGAAGTAGCTGTTGAATGCTTCTCAGGTTTTAATGGTTGTCTAGATAACTCATTTCGTGATTTCAACCATGAAATATTACTTTTAGTTGTACTCTGATATGAATACTTTTAAGTATTAAGGATGATATTGGTTTTCTATTGTTCTTTCCTTTCTTATAAATAAAATAGAGTTTGTTATCCAAAGTTTCAGCGTTGGATATTCTCCATGACATCTCAGATGTAAAAAGATTGGTTAAAACCAACTTTGTTTTGGAGCTTAATGTACCTATATCTAAACCTGAGTGTTTTCATACTTGTCGAGTGCTGAAGATTTCCAAATCAAGACATAGCATTTACTCGGTAGTTACGTAATTATACTGAATGATGTTGAAAACTACTTCTTGTCAGTAAACGTTTTGACGTTTACAATTCCTTTGGAACTTAAAGACTTCATTTGTCATTCTTAATACCTCATTGTGGGGTGTATTGTGTTAAACTTTCCAAATTCACATTACATTTTCACAACAAATAGAAACTTTTGAAATATTCACGTTTCCGTTATGTTAAAATATTTTGTAAACTAGATCTTCTTCACGAAGGTGATGAACTGTTATCTGTCAATGGAATTGAACTAATGGGGAAAGATTTGAATACAGTATGTGATATTATGGTAAGCAATTTTATTCTTAATACATTTATGCAATGAATGAATCAGTTATATATTTTCAAGGTTTCTTCAGCACTGTGATTCATTTATAAATGGTAATATAATGGTGACAAACTAATTGTAGCTGATGATCATTAGTATTTTGCCGTCTAACTTTATAGTATATCTAAGCTAATTTTAATATAAATGAAGATTTTTCATATATATACGATTGTATAGCTTGATAATAAATTCGTTGAAAAGACATCCCGTCGCTGAACTTCGTGTTTTTAATGTTTAAATGGGAATTATAGGTCAATTAACTTTTTTTTGTGACTAATAAACGATACTTGTTAGTTATTAGTAGCGAAATCTTCATATATATAACTTGTTAATAGAATTTGTCCACACTTTAATGAATGTTAATGTTTCTACTAAGAGTCAAACTGAACTTTCATCGCTTTGAAGAATAAATTTTCATTCCTTTGGATGCTTAGTTAAAATGGATACCTCCAGTTTAAAAAGCATCATTGAATTTAGAATATTTGAGTTATGATTTCATAACATAGTGTATGTCACTTTTTAATGTTCACGAAAATCGGTACTGAGTTGAGCTCTCGATGAAGATAAAGATGTTTAATTGATTGATGATGCATTCAAATAAGATAACAGTGTGGGACAATCCGCTATTAGGATCCTTTCGTCAAACGTTCATCAAATAATTACAAGATATGAGTAAAAGGAACATTCAAACATTTCCAGATAGAATAAATACATTCTCAGGGACAGATAAGTTCACTCTTCTAACAATTAGCTTTGGGGATTAAGATGAAGCTATAATAGAAGAGTTGATAGTAAAGATAAAAATATTTTTAGGAAGTAAAGAAGGGATGTGATTGTAGCAAGCCTATTGTGATTGTGACCAAGGTGATCCCCTGCACTGTTCGAGGTGTTTGCATATGTATGTGTGGAGGTCATTCCTTGGTTGCTCACACCGTAGAAGAATGTTTCTTGAAGATCATGAAAGGGGTATTGGATTAGTATTAGCCTTGGCGACCTGGTAGTGTGACCACGGAGTCCAAGGGAAAACTGCTTGAGGTTGTTTACATATAGCTCTTTCTCAAGTAGTTCTTTATGTATTGTCCCCATACTTTAAAGGTCTTACCTCTCGAAGCGTACATTAGTAAGGCAAGATGAGTTGTATTGATTTTAAGCCCTACCTTTTCTAGCCCATTCCTCTTGATGTAGGAAGGCAGCATCACCGTAAATGCTGTTTGTATAAAGTAAGGATGTCACTGCCATCATACATTAGTACAGTAGGTAGTAAGACTTTGCCTTCGAACTCAAAGTTTTTGCTTTTAGTCTTATCCCTTTTCAACCGACTTGCCAAGTATAGTAGGACCTAAAAGAATAAGTATTCCAGCCAATATTGCTCGATTTGGTCGTTACGATAAGTAAACATAACCGACCATCATGTCAGGGTAGCAATCACTCTTAGAAAATAATTAAAAATTGTCACTTTTTCATTTAATTTGGCTGTGTTTGTGTATTGGTAATAAGGGATCTTTTTAATTGTTTTAAAGGTTAACATAATTAAGCTGTGATCATGTTTAAAGATGAAGTTTCTATACTTACATTGACTATATTCCAATAGAGATGAAGTAATTTACACCTAATAAGAAATTAGTAATAGAATAATACAGAAATAGCATGTAATAGGATCGTCCGAATGAAACACTATAATGCTTAGTAGCATTTATTTAAGTGTGCTTCACTCTTATGTAATAAAGATGTTCACTCTTAATCCATTCATTACTCAACGTGAAAACAACGACATTTAATGCTCATTAGATACTTATTGTCTTGAAATGATTATAAAAGGTTATTTTTCATTTTAATTGAATTTAAGAAGTTTTGTTTCAAACGTATTAACCTTGTTTTATATCAAATGGTAATACATCTGCATTTAAAAAACAACAACCTCTATTTTAGGCTTCACTACATGGGAGAATTATTCTTCTTGTTGCACCGGCACTTGATCCATATTCATCAATATCGACTAAAGGAATTGTAAGTATGAGATAATTCTATATTTTTCTTCTTCTTCTTATGATTAGGAACTTGTTAATAGCTTAATAATCTTGATCAAGACAACATTTATTTAGACGAATAAATGATTCTAGCAAATTCATCTTTAGTTCTTACGATTATAATTATTTAAAATTTGTTTGTGAGCACAGGTTAATAATTGAATACAAAGTTTTTAAACAAATATGTTGTGAGATAGTGACTCACTGAATACCATGGTGGATGTGTCGCTCAATTTCTTGGATTAATTAAAGTTAGACATTAACACCATTAGGTGCCGGCTCGATGGTCTAGAGGTTAAGCGTTCACACGCGAGACCGATATGTCCTGGGTTCGAACCTCGCGGGGGCGGGATCGTGGATGCGCACTGCTGAGGAGTCCCACAATGGGACGAAACGGTTGTCCAGTGCTTCCAGGTTTACTTTGGTGTTCTAGCTTTAATTGGCTCATGATCCCAACTATTGGAATATTTTATGTTAGATTTAGTGATGTTATTTGAATTATCAGATTAAGAAAATAGATAGAGAATCATTTTCGACTGTACGTTGTAATGGTTAAAAATCAAGTAGTCTAATCATTGAAGCATTTCTTTATGAAAGTATTGTCTTGTAATTCTCGACATTTATTCTTTGTATAAAATAATGATTAAAAGAAGTGATGTGACAGGATGGGAAAAAAGTAGTGATCATGAATTTATATGATGCAACAATAAAATGTTCAACTATGATTTTTTAATTATATACTCTTCATAATGGTTTATCACAAGACATATTCAGCTCATAAACTCAACTGAAGTTCTGTTTGTATGTTCAGATTATAATATTAGAATACTGAATTTTATTTTTAACTCGAAAATTAAACTCCAACAATATGCAATCGAGTATTTTACTTACTTAGGACAGCGGAAATTAAGAAACGCAACCTGTTGGGTTTGGGGGAAACCGGAACCTCAATAAGGTTTGAATCAATGCGCATCGCTCAGTACTCCTCTGTAATGAGGAACATCATCCAAATTTTAACCTGGTTTTATTTTTATTTTAGTCAAGGAAATTGCGCTTGATTTTTATCTGAATGAGAGATATATCTGTTTGTGATGTATTACATAACTAATTTTTTCATTTAGGGTTATGTTTTCTATTTCGAACCGAACTGTGCTAGATTGTAGAGGAAACTGATAGAATAACAAATGGAATTACTAAAAAGCAACCAAAACCGTGATAGTAGTTGAGTGTAATAGTTAGTGGGACATTCTTGGACCCAACCTTCTCTTCCAATTGCACGTATCATAATTACGTAATCAGTAGGAGGCAGAATTTCAAATTGAAAAGTAAATATTGGAAACCATATATACCAAATAAGAATTGTTAGTAGTAACTGTGTACACACCAACTATTGAAATTCGAAGATAATGTGGGATAATTTTAAAATGAAAAAGAACAGAAGGAAACGATGGATTGTAATATCAACTACTAGTAATCAGGACAGACAACAATTATTTTAATAAAAATATCCGTTTATTTACACATAATACTTACTTTCACCAGTTATCTCTCGTAGAAAAGTGTAGGCCGACCAACAACATTCTATATCCAACTCTGTCCTGGGCCATTCTTTCCAGTTGTTTCCAGTTGCTATTCATCTTTTTGATATTTCCTTCTAATCCCCGACGCTGTGTTTTCTTGGGTTTTTCTCTTTTTCGTTTCCTCTCGAGAGTCCAAGTTAGGGCTCGCCTCGTGATGCAGTTTGATGATTTGTGCAATATGTATCCTATCCACTTCTATAATATTTTTCTAATTTTCTCTTCATCTGGAAGCTGTTTTTTCTCTCCCACAGAAGTCTATTGTTGATGGTATCCAGGCAAATTTACATATTTCTTAAGCCTTAATTCCATGGAAAAATGTAAATACTGAAAAAGCGATTTTTTGAATAGATCCATTCTCTTAACTTAGTGTTTTAAGTGTTCTGACGGAAATCACGGAATTTTCTAGATTACAAAATCATCAATTTAATGGTTCAGTGAATTGAATCTATTCACTTCATTATTCACGTATAAATACAAATTGTATAAATTAAAACTATTCTGCTGATAAGTAGTGATATTCGGTTAATGTTTCGAATTTCAGAACTGACCTATCTATTACCAATTTTAGGGTTTGTTTTCAAATTTATTTGTTTTAATTTACCTGGAGTTGTCTGTGTCAATAAGTTTGATGATTTTCGTTCTATTATGTGTATTTTCCTGATCTCTGTGTATACGTCGTTTATTTGACAGATACATCTACGTGCATTATTTACTTATGAACCCACTGACGACCGTTATATAGCATGTAAAGAATTGGGTTTAGGATTTACCAAAGGAGACATTATACACGTTACAGGCAGGAAAGATCCAAATTGGTGGCAAGCTTATCGGTGAGTTAGTTTTGTTTTTGTTAGATGTATAATATCTTGATATGATCAATTATTTGTACTTATTCATAACTTCCCGATGTTAGTAGACATGCGTTTGACTCGTAGTGATGATTTAGTTGGTTATGTGTGTATATATAGGAAAACATGTGATAGTTATCCGCCTAGATATCTCATTGAAGAATAAGGCAACGATTTATGATCCACCTATATGGGACAAAAATACTTCTGTTTATTAGGGATATTTACAAAATCACTTGTGTGTGGATGATTAATTTGAGAATGTATATCAAACCTATGGTAAGTTGATAAATCATAATAACTATTATCCTTTACCGATGACTCTATCATCTGTTGGGAATCGGATATATCCCATGTATTATTGTAATTTTGAATGTGCTTAGACATAGCTACTTCAAAAATTAATATGCTAAGGTTAATTTAAGGAAATAACTGGCTTAACAACTAACAGATTATTTGAGGTATTCTTGTCTAATGTGTCAAGTGAAAGCACAGCTCAGCGTTTTGTTATTTCAGTATTTTGCTTTAGTTAATTTAGGTTTATGGTAAAAAAGGTCTTCAGCTTGTTCGTATTTTGTTTATGTTGTTACACAAAGTATATCAGTGTTTAATGTTACTTATTAGTAATATTTTTTCATGACTAATTCATTCGTTTTTATTCTATGCATTTTTTATGAATCTATTATTATAGGAGTGATGAAGAACGTGGTTTGTCTGGTGCAATAGGAACATTAGCTGGTCTCATACCTAGTCCAATTTATCAACGTAATCGTGCTATATTACGCTTAAAATATTGGTTAACTAGTGGAACTGAAGACATTGAATTGGAAGAAGATTCAACAGACTCTGATTCAACTGGATCAACTGTTAATAAAGCAGAAAAGCCTACAAATAAGTCGAAAGAGAAGAGGTTTTTGGGAATAAAATTTCCAACACTTAAAAATGCACACTTTGGTAGTAGATCTATCTCACCATCAAGTCGAGATACTAATCAAACTGATTCAAAAAGTGAACTGACATCTGTGAATACAAGTGAAGGTGATTTAACGGATGGAGTTGTATCTACACCAGAAGATGATTCACGTTGTGTAATGAATAGTACTGTGTTAAGTTCAGCTTATGGCGATCGTATGTCTGGTTTAACAAAACCTACTGATCTTTCCTCAGTTAATGCAATCAATGAATGGTCAGGTTTGTTTTTTGTTATTATTTATTCTAATTGATAAGTGTATTTCTTGTCGGTGAATCGTTGTTGTTTGGGTCGAGCGATTTACTCATGGAATTTTTATTGACTTTATATGGATCATCAACACAAATTTTATTGACTAAAATATGCAACTCAGAAAATGAAACACAATAGAAAGTGATTTTATATAAATAATGCTTGATTTAAGACAACTAGATATGCCTGTAATGAAGTCTTGTACTTACAGATACCTTTGATATTTTTCAGTATATAGGTATTAACTTCGGCGAAACTATGTACTCGCTTTAGTAATAAGAAAACACCATCAGTTTTCAAAGTAATTGTCTCAAAATATTACACTAAAGTATCGGGGAGCTGATATATGATTTATAAAAATAGTTTAAGCATTTTAAATATAGGTAATGTGCTAGGTTCGACTAAAAGAGGTTAATCTTACTTATTAATATAACAATAATAAAAAACTATTAACGTATTAACTGTTTTTCATATTTTATTATGAATATAAATGGAAACAAAGTTCTTGTGAAATTCACAGATTTATGTACAACCGAACAGTATGAATGATATACTTGTAGAGACTGATCAGTGATCACTAGGAAGTAGATGATATCGGAGAATCTATATCTTCTGTCTTAATTTCCTTTATTAGCTGCTGGACCAGTATGGGGTCAACATGGTTATGATCTTCGAACTCTACGTGCACGTCGTAAACGAAATAGACGGAAACTCTCTTCAACAAATAGATCGTCTCCATGTCTAGAAGGTTTAAGATCCTGGAAAAAAGATAAAAACCATGGCGAGTATTATCCATCTCTTGTTCCTGGTAAGTGTTTTGTTAGTAAGTTGGTAAGTATTTTGTTCAAATTTGATCTAAAATTAAATATTTAATTGTATTTTAATTAATAACTCTTGAGTTATGTAGATAAATTCTGGAATTTTAAATGTCACAACGTTTGTGCATTTTGTCACATGATTTCTTACTAATTTCGAAATTTATCCTGACAACTACCAGAAATATGGAGTTATCTTTTTTAACCGTATGAGTAGATCTTTAGTTATTTACATAATTACAACTTGAAGTGATTTTCACTTTTGTGAGATGTATTTATGCCTTCTTGTTATTTACATGAGTTAATCCTTTATCGGTTTCATTGTCACTTCAATGTTATCACCACTACTTGTACTGTAGCAAACAAAAACTCAGGTGGGAAAAACCGATTTATTGTTTAATGCAAAATCACACAGTGGTTTAGTAAAATATGAAAATCATGCATTAAATACATCATTTGCATATCTTTGCGTTATCCTTTACATACTCTATTATTCCTGTAACTCTGTTGTTATTTTGATTGTTCTTCGACTTCTTTTTTGTTCTCTTCATTTCAATGTTCTTCTGCTAGGCATTCTACTTTCGACTGATGTTACATACTATTTATATCTCAATATAAGTAACATACACCACCATACCATAGTATTTTAATTTTTACTCCTTATCTGTTTGGTTAGATTGTCCACATTTACTTAAATGCCCAAATGAATAGTCATTTATTGATTATTATTGGCTAGAATGATTATGTGGAAACGTTTGTACAGTTAAAAAGCAATTTTAATTACACACTAACTTCAGCTAGATAATTATTGAAAAATCTATTAAACAGTGAGCAGTTTTTGTATCCTGGATTAAGGTCCTTTTAGAGCAATACACACCCTACATCTCACATGGGATTAAATCTAAGATCTTTTAGTTTTATGGTAAATAATCTTATGACAAAATCCAATGATCCACACTTTATGAATTAAATCAATTTACGACCGTCGGTCAGTCATAAACAACATAGAGCCTGGCACAAATGTGTGTTGGTCCAAGTTGCCATACCATATTAGCACAACGAGATTGCATTAACAAAATAAATAAGAAGAGTATCGAGATAATACATATCAATGATAATTGGAAAGATCAGAGTTTGAGAATACGTTTTGAGAAGACAGAATGAAAGGATATGCATGAAGGAATACTGAAACTTACAATCTACAGTAAAATAAGAAGTAGATACATCTTCATCTGTAATCGATTCTGAACCTTGTCACCTAACGTCTTCAACTACTGATCACTGTCATCATGTTGACAGCATAATCTTAATTCAGCTTCATTGGTATGTTACAGTTTCAATCCCGTATGATACCCAGCTATATACTGTTGGAAAGTTTAAAAGATACAATAAAACAACTATTCAATTCTCTCTAAGTTCTAATTATCTTGAAGCCTTTATCGGTCCAATTACAGTCAGATAGATTAATTAATAAAATGCTTTTTCATAGCTCTCAAGAATTTTTTTCAATGCTAATCTTTGCTGCGGCACTTTTTCTATCTACTATATTATGTTTTAGTAACAAACATACATCTAGTGGATTAAATAGTTGTCTAAAGCTTATATGCGTGTAATATATCGATTGGCTTTTCAGATGATACTAAAAAGGCACCTATCTTTAACTAGTTATACATTGATCAATAAAGATATATGCAAATTATTGTAGTAACTTGTGTCCATTTATTTATGTATGCATATGAGTTAGCTTTTGATTGCTTGTGATATTCTTTAGTAGTCATTGTTTAGTAACTATATTCAACAAATAATTTTCTTAATGTTTTTTTGTTTGTTTGTATTTACTATACTGACTATTTGTACGTTGGTGTACAGTTTGTTATGAGTAATTTACTTTCTGAAATTTGTACTTCTAACGTGTAATACATTAAATGGAATAAGAGACTAAAGTGATAACTTGGAGTTGATAATAAGGACAAAAAAAAATCACTCTGATTTATAAACAAGCAATCAAATGATTTTAGACATGGACTGATAGTAATTAGAAAACCGCTTAGGAAAAACGTGTTTTCACGATAATTTTGCTTACTGCAAGATTTGTAGATTCTTGTTCTAATCTCTGGCATGATCGTGAGTATAAATTATTAAGGAGTGCAACACTTATATGAAAAAGTTATTTAGTGCCTTCTGGTTCGAAAAATAGCTTATCAGTTGATGCCAGTCTAGAACTTAAACCAACTTCAAATCAAGTCATTTTTTAAATGTTAATTAGTCAAGTATTTGTATAAACATTACGGTGTGACAAATATCGTGTAATTACAAACAATAAAGGGAAATTTTTATATTTCTTATTTACTTTAACTGATATTGATTAAGACTTCACGTAACCTCTTGGAAATGTAACTAAAATTTTTTTTCTGTAAGCTGTATGACACTCATCCATTTATATGGGCTGAGCTCTTTTGTAACTCTACAAATTGCCTACTAAAGATGGCATTAACTACCCTGTCAATCTCTAGAAAGCTGATTTCGTTAACGACTGACATTTTTTGGGTAATTTTGTGGTATACAGAAAATTAAAAACATGGATATATTTGAAAATAGGTATCTTATCTTGGAAGTCAACAAAAATCAAAATAAATGTCAGTGAGTTATAGGATCAAATAGGGGAAGAAATCCATTCAGACATTGAATGAAAAATTTCTCTTTTATAATATCATTTACTCAAGCTATACAGCTGTATTCATATTAAGTTAAAAAGTATTGTAATCTATAAAAAGAAGGATAACGTAAAAGCTGTCCGGAAATTTCATATGTCAAAAGAGAAGTACCCAATGATCGAGAAGTTAAAAAAGAAAAAAAAAGAAAATAAATATGTGGAAGATATTTTTCTGCTTTACAATTATAAAATTGGAATTATCTAAGTGATAATGGCAACTAACTGAAAGCTAACAAAAAATCATTAGAATTTGTTATATCCGAACAAAGAATAAGTGAATGTTAACTGCTAGGATCTATTTATGAACTGTTATTGTGTATATATGTATTCTTATTGTATAATTATTAAATACCTATATTATAAGTATATTCATATTCATTTCATTATAAGTTTCTATTTGACTTCTTAGCTAATACTATACGACTTACTATTCTTGAGTTATTCCCACACTCACACTCACAGCCACTTTTGGCTTGAATTTGTATAATTTTCATTTCCTATTTTATAGTATGATGCGGTCTGATTTACTTACTTACTTTCGCCTGTTACCTCTCATGGAGGAGAATAGACCTCTTACTAGCATTTTCCATTCAATTCTGTCCTCAGCAATCCTTCCTAATTCTTTCCAGTTGCTGTTCATGCTTTCCATATCCGATTCCCGATACAGTGTGTCTTTTGGCCTTCTTTTTTTCCGTTTTCCTTCAGGATTGCAAATTAGCGCTTGTCTCATGATGCACTCTGATGATTTCCTCAATCTGTGTTTTATCCTATTCCATCATCTTTTCCTAATTTTCTCCTCATATGGAAGTTGTTTTTTTCTCTCCCACAGAAAACTGTTATTGATGGTATCCGGCCAACGGATATTCATTATCTTAAGTAGACAAATGTTTATAAATACTTGTGGTAGTTCTTCACGTTTCAGCTTCGTACAGTAGAACTATCTTGACGTTCGTGTTAAAAATTGTGACTTTGATATTGGCTGACAGTTGTTTTAAGTTCCATATGTTCTTCAACTGTAGGAATACTGTCCTTGTTTCGCTAATCCGTGCCTTTACATTTACATTTCATGGACTTAGGAAGTCTGTTTCACATAATTCATACTTTAGTTACTCTTTTAAACTCAATTTTCATGAAAAAGATTTTCATTCGGACTGAGTATGACCTCTTAGGCTGTGGTTTTGGTTTTAGGTTTTTATCAGTTAACCTGAATGGATTGTGATTTTTGATGAATACATCTATCAAAGTTGAAATATTTCGTTGTTTATCGTGTCGTCGAATCATAGTTTATTGACTCTCGGAAATAAAGAGTGAATTAAATCTCTCTTTCTGCTCAATGGAACCGAACTTTGGAAACTCGTATATTGATAGTTCCATATTTGTTTTTTATACATGAATCTTTGTAGGGAGACCTTTGACAATTTTAATAAAACATCAAGAAGATGAAATTTTTTGTTTATACGTTTTTCGATAGCTTTTTCAGACTCTTTAAGTGAACAGTTATCTCTCATACATTGGTTTTTATCATATTATTTTCCTCTAACTTCGCGATCGATATAGAATCCTCTTATGACATCTAAAACTTCAAAATAATTTGTTGTGTAATAGGTATTTTTCAGTAGCTTTAAATACGAGTATATAGTGTGTGAATAGTTCTAATAAGTTGTTTAAATTGGAGGGTATGAATGCGTAACTACCGAAAAAACTTGAAATTTTTAAATCAAAAACATTTGAAAGATTTTAAAGAGAAATAATGGTGTTTTTATGATAGAAATGGTGTATCCACAGGATTTTGATTAAGCAATCTCAGGGCATCTTGTTTACTGCGTGACCTAAAGTTCCTAGTCTCATTGTTTTATGGAGTCGTGTGCATTCAATGCTGAAGAGTCTCAAAGTAGTAGTGCTTTAATCCCTAAATTTTCTGTAATTCAATGGCTAAAGTCGATTCTCTTTGAAAATTGCAATAATAATATACTTAAATCTCTACATATTAACTCATTTACTTGTAACATTAATATGTAGTGTCGAAAACTTTTGTAGCACTGGCGAGGTGATTAGAAGTGAATTTCAAGAAAGCATTTACACTCACTCATCATGTACTTTATAATTGTATATCCTCGTGTTTATCGTCTCGTTATCTATTATTTTTCATTTGTTGCTACTTTTTAGCATTTATTAAATTTCTTTTTCTGTACTAATGAGTAGTGTGAAAGTTTAAGTTAAAAAATCAAGCCCAAATTAGGTTTTCAGCTAACACCACTACTTGTAGTAATAATAATACTAATAACAGTAGTAGTATTGTTTATCAGTTAATGATAGAAAACTTAATAATTAGTTACAGTTGGACCAAACGTGGGTGTACAGTATCCAATTCCGAATTGAGATTAAGTTAGTGCAGAGATTAAAAACACTACGTTGCGAATGAACTTTTATGTAAGAATTCCTGATTGATTTATTTAAGCTACCACTTTAAAACTGCACTCTTATGCCTCTTTTCGCTGGTATCTTATATTAGTTTTAAGTGTTAAGAGATAATTCTCCTTCGTACTTTCAGTCCCAGATAATGAATTACAGTCGAGTGATGATCCTGTGGCATGGTTAGATAAAGAAGTTGCTCGTGGTTATATGATCCATTATAGTTTATGGACTTATGAACCTGTCGCTCAGTATATCCCACAACCACTTCGTAGACGGCCACTTGTGTTTGTTGGGCCAGCACATGTTGGACGGCAACAAATTTTACAGCATCTCATTCAACGAGAACCTGATCGATTTTTTCAAGCGGCTATTTGTAAGTTATTTTGTTGTCTTTTTCTGTAGACATAAATTTTTGTCAACAAAAATATTGATCTACGGTAATTATTTTGACAAATAGGTATTTAATGCTTTACAATTTTAGCTACTTGACTACATGTTATGTATGATAAAATTCAAAATATTTTCTGAAAACACTTGAAACTTCAGAGAGTATTACATCATGTGTTTATAAAAGATCTCTGCTATGCACACATACCATGGCTATCAATACTATTGTACATGTCTGAATATACATTATAGTGAGATACTAGCTTCCAAAACCTTTATTCTTGTCACTTATATAGTACCCTTTCAGACGAATAAACTTCAGTAGTTAAGCATCAAATGTTATTTTGTAACGTGACATTTATTACAAGTAACACATCTAGTTTTGAGTTTATCACTGTTCTTTCAAACAGTTTCATTTCGAAAATCGTTTGTGATGATGATGCTAACAGTGGTTGAATAAGTATGATAGTTGACCGGCTTTTAGCATAAAATGCAAATTACATTATAGTATCTGTTAATGCTACTACAAAGAAATCTCTACGGATATTATTTAGCGAATCTGTTTAACTGTCTAAAATGTAGTAAAATAATCTATAAAATTGACTTTTTTAATAAAACGAATGGATTTTTAGCCAGCAATGAAATCCAGGAGCAAGGTTTTTTGCCGTTTGAAACTCGTTAGCTGGATGCGCTCACATTTTGTGGTGATTTTCACACGAGACCCGAGCCCAGTGCTGTTCGCTTCAAACATCCAACGCGTTATTCCTCGAGCGACTAAGTGCAGACAACCACCCACTTAAGCAACAAATGTTATGAATAAATGTTCTCTAACGGTGATATGAATATTACTGATGGTTTATAACTCCTCTTTGTTCATATTCAAGACTAAATTTGATCAGTTTTTTTTCGACATATATACATATTGAACAGTGGTCTTGATATTACCTGCTAGTAACAAGATTTAGTATAATTGGGTTGTGAATGTCAACACTGGGATTCAGGTACATATAGTATACGAATTCTGAAGAATTTAATAGTAAGCACAGTTCGAATGTAGTAAAACATGTATAACATGTCTAAAATTTATCAAATATATTTTCACATTAGTTTACTCACTGAAGAGTAGGATAAGTCGATTTTTTTTGTGTAGAATGGTATTCAATTATTCTTTTTAATAAATAATCATCAGTACTTTACTACCAGTTGAAGAGTCAACAGTTACTCATTTATCTTGTTCATTTTATAAATATATAATCATTCATTGTTTTAATCCATTAAATATTTTATTGACTTTTTTTTGTTAGAAGCAGTAGTCTTTGATTATGATTGCCAACTATGCTGTCAACATTCTTTTTTAATAACATCGTCATTGTTTCCTTTTTTCCTTTTAATTATTCGTTTAGATACAACAAATTCAAATTTGAAGGCAGATACGAAATTTTCTTATATTTGTATTACAGAAGAAGAGTTTCGATTAAAACGTAAACAAAAGGAATTCATTGAATGGGGATTATTTAATCGTGATTATTATGGAACTAGTAAATTAACTGTACAACAATTAGTAAATGAAGGCAAAATATGTTGTATATCTTTAAGACCTGATGTAAGTTTTTTTGTTAACAAATTAAATTTTTTTATCAGTCAGTGTACTTTTAACTTTCCGTTGTTGATATTCGGTTTTATAATTGATCAACCTCTGTTACTAAATCAATATCTTGAGTACATTTTCTTGATATTTCTTTTTATCGTAAGTTTTAGTTTATTGGTTATATGTTTTACAGTGGAATCCAGGAAGCTATATTGACTCGATTTTGAATCAATCCTCCCAGGCTACATATACAGTAACGGAGATTGATTTGTTTGAGTTAATTAGAGCGTAAATTACAAAGCCATACTAATACCATTATACCTGTCGATCAAGCTATTGATTGTTTGAACTCGGTACTTTAATGAGTAAAGAGTTGATGTTTGATACATTAGATACTAAGTTAGAGTCTCAATGTAATCAACAGCACAGACTCAGCTCTATCCCAAAGCCAAGTCCTGAATAGAAGAAACATATATCCTGGATTCCATCGCTTTACACGTTGTATTGTGAATAGCCAATGGACTGAATACAGAATATGCATATGACTACTAAAAACTGTCAGCTGAATGTACCCTTATCTTTCAGCGTTGACTTTAATATATATATATATATATATATATATATATATATATATATATATATTCAGGATCTAACGATTTATCTAACTGACTACTTGGATCAAAAGTAATCACAATCTTGTTCAACAAGTGTTGATATAACTGGGAATAAGCAAGCTTGATGATCACACTTTTATCCAACAAATTCCTGAATGATCTACAAATTGAACATCTAACAATTATTGACATTTCAAACCAATTTCAATCATATTTATTTTTTGTTAGATATTTTGACCTCAAGCGTATCATTTTTACTTTGTAAACTGACTTATATTTTACTGACAAGTTAGGCCATAATTTGATATCCTTTCACTTTGTGTCATTAAACTTGATTTTTATGAACACCTATCACTTGGTGACACAAATCATTTCAGATAAAGCCAACCGATAACATAACCCTACATTACGTTGTTCGTCATATGAAACATGATAATAATTGACTGTAAGGTTTAATATATTCCCATTGTTGTCATTTCAGAACTGTGCCCGACCAGTCTATCAAATAGGATAAATCACGTATACTGGATTTAATTGTC